AAAACCTTCAAAGGAATATTTAGCACTAGTCTAAATCTTTCTCCTGTTGTTATAGGGAGAGTAGGACTTGCACTTGATTACTTATGAAAATACTGTATCTGTAAGCATACATGAATTTTCAACTTCATAAAATAACCCAAGTCCTAATGCTTTAAGAGCTCATTACCTTGAGAAAAGTGAAATGCTCCTGGGTTTAAAGGACAGATGCATTTAACAGCTGCATTCCTTCCTCAAGGAGGCAGCAGGAGGGAAAGTTTGTCTTCCTTGAAATCAGTTTCTGTTTTGAGAAGACTGCACTGAGTGCTCTGCAGCAGCAGCATTGCTGGCCTGTGTGAGTGCACTAAGCCTCCTTCCCTGGCAGTCCCAGCTCAGCTGCTGTGCTGTGCCTGCTCTGCAGAGCCAGGCTCACTCCATCCTCTGACAGCCATTCAAGGACAGCTCCTCAGCCTTTGCTCTGCTGGGACCAGGGCTGAGGATGCACTGCAGAGCTCTCACCGTGCCAGGGACAGCACTCTGCTCCCAGCCTTCCTTCCCAGTGTCCTGTGCAGAGACAGCACAGCTCCCCCAGCTCCAAGCCACTGCAGGGCCCAGGGCAGCAGCCTGGGCTCTCTGGGCTGCACTCTGAGGCACTGCTGATCCCAGGGCTCTGTCTGCAGGGATGGAGAGCCCTGAGCACACAGACAAACCAGGCCCTGTGTCTGCAGGGATGCAGAGCCCTGAGCACACAGACAAACCAGGCCCTCTGTCTGCAGGGATGGAGAGCCCTGAGCACACAGACAAACCAGGCCCTCTGTCTGCAGGGATGCAGAGCCCTGAGCACACAGACAAACCAGGCCCTCTGTCTGCAGGGATGCAGAGCCCTGAGCACACAGACAAACCAGGCCCTCTGTCTGAGCACACAGACAAACCAGGCTCTCTGTCTGCAGGGATGGAGAGCCCTGAGCACACAGACAAACCAGGCTCTCTGTCTGCAGGGATGGAGAGCCCTGAGCACACAGACAAACCAGGCCCTCTGTCTGCAGGGATGCAGAGCCCTGAGCACACAATCAAACCAGGCCCTCTGTCTGCAGGGATGCAGAGCCCTGAGCACACAGACAAACCAGGCCCACAGACACGAAGCAGGTGCAGGCAGAACTCTGTGCTCAGCCCCAAAGCAGCAGGAACAAAAGCCACAGGCCAAGGGCTGAGCACAGCCCAGTCTCTCCTCCCTGGGTAAATGTTTACTAGGGCTGCCAAGGCAGGAGGAAACAGTTGTAAGTGAAATGGGTTTGAGTTCAAGCTGCCCCATGGACACTTCTAGAGATACTCACAGCAGCAGCAGCAGCTGACACAGGTGACAGCAGGAGGGACCTGAACCTGTGCCAGCAGCAAGCACAGCACAGAGAGCAGCAGCACTGAGGGACTGCCCAGGGGCACAGCTCTGCTCCAGGGGGGGCACAGGGACACACGGAGAACACTGGAAATACAATACAGGAAAACACTGCCTGCTCCCCTGGCCACCAGAGAAATAGTAACCCCAGCTGTTGTCACACTTGAGAAAAAGAATGCATTCTTCCTCATTTTATCTGACAAAGTAATTAAGAAAAAAATAATTTCATTTCTATATCCATTTATTATTTTGGTCTGTAAAAATATAAGACTAATATACAACTACATCTAGCTTGATTTTTGTAAAATCAATCTTCATTCGGTGAGATACCAATGTACATTATACAATAAAGTTGTAAGAAAAATACTGATATTTGACATTTTAAACAAGTTCATTCATGTAAAAATCACATTGCAAGTAAAATTTAATTAGAAAATACATAATATTCACAAAAATACACATGTTAAAGACAGCTTGTGAGAACATTGTCCTAAATTTAATTCAGGTGTGGAAAAAAACATATGATTCACAGTTAGGCTTGACTTCTCCAGTACCACAGCAGAACTTCAAAGTAAATGCATCTTAATTCTATTAAGAATTTGTTCTTCCTATTAAGGTGCACTTGGATCTCCCAACCACCAGGGACATCACTTGTCCCCCTCTGTGCATGTACACAACATATAACACTAGTCAAAGGAATTTTAGTTTTTCATTCCATTCTGAAATAATTTGGGTATTTCATAAATTAATTTATAAAATCTGGATTGAAAATACAATTTACACACACAGGATACTTAATACACAGATTACATCAATAGCAGCGTAACATTGTCAATCATGCGCAGCATCCTCACTATCACTTCTGGAATTCTTTCTCCTTTTCTTAGCTATAGATAAAATCTATATAAAACAGTCAAGCCTGTAAGTATTGTCTTCCAGGGAGAAAACAGTATAGATGTTAAAAATTTAGGAGGTAGTGAATGAAAGGCTAACAATATCAGCATATTTTAAAAAACCCTATACTGAAGCCCAGTATCATTTATATATAAAATTAAATTTAGCCACTCATAATCAACCATTGATCATCCCAAAGTAGCAATTTAAAAATCTTTTGTAATTAACAGTGTATGTATTAGTAAGATATGGAAGAACTTTAGAAACTTTATGGTAACTGCAGCGTTAAGCAATTGCATGCTGTGCAGTCTGTCATTATAACTGTAAATACACATTCTTCAGTTTTATTCTTTTTCTATCAAGTCCCAAAGGCTTAGTTTTACTACATGTCACCCAATTTCTGTGAAACAGAACATGATCTACGTCAAAAAGAACATGATCTCACGTTGAGATTACTCAGTTTGCAGGACAGGTCCTAAGAGATGAAGTCTCATGCAGTTTAGGGTAGGACCTCGGTTAAATTTCTACAAGTCCTTAATACTGGCATCAATGTTATTCAGACCACCCACCCACGGGCCTGGCAGCACAGCAGCCTCAGGGCTGGCACCTGCCCAGGCTCCTGGCCAGACCCAGCCCTCCCAGGCGACTCCATCCTTCCAGCTGTGATCTGAGCTTCAGAATCCTCACGGGCCGCACCAGCCCCAGAGGGGATTTGCATGGAATGAAAACGTTTCACCTGCACTAAGTGCACTACCAGTTCATTCTCTGTACCTCTGGACCTCTCTTCTCTTCCCATCCAAGTGCCTTTATTCCTTTGATTATTCACAATACATTCAAGTAAACCAAAGGCACAGAAGTGCAAACTAGCAGAATAATGAGTCTCACCCTCCACTGGTGATTTCATACAGGAAGGAAAGTCTTTTGACAAAGGAAAATAAAGATATTGTCAAAGTAAACAATCTTCCATAAAGAAAGGAAGTGTAGAGCAGCACTGAGAGAAAACATGCACAGGTAAAGTCTCCATGTTGCAGAATGAACATTCCTTTTTCTCATTTCACACTAAGGGGATGTAGTTACTTCATTTTCAATAATTATTAGCAAAACAAGTAAGACACACTTGAAAGATCTTGTTCTTGTAAAAGATTCCAGGGCTCTCCACACACACACACTAAGAAACCATAAATAAGTGTAACAAAAGAGCCCCTCACCTGTGTTTGCAGAGTATCACTGCCTGCTGTGCCTATTCTCCATAAACCCTAAGAGGGATGGATGCCTCTCTTGGCATCTTGGACTCCAATGGCATTGCAGATTTGAGAAAACTGCTCATCAGATACTAACTTCCAATGTGCACTTTGTAACATCAAACAGCAGGGATTTGTTTCTGCAGCAGTGTTTGCACCATCACAAAAACCTGAAACAAACACAGGTTTAGGCTCCGACAGTCTGTGAGGACTTCTACAGATGCCCTATCATTAAACTTACAGTTGAGTTGGTCTCCTGTTAGTAAAGTTACCAGAGGTAGATTTTCCTCAAATAGACTGAGGGGAAAAAAAGAAAGGAGTCAGTCTCCCTTCCCAGTCATCACATCTTCCCAGAGGGTGGAACACACTGCCAAGCACCCGACTGCTGCTCTGGGGAGCACAGGACCAAGGACAGAACTGGCAGCACCCCACTCCTCCTGACAGAGGCCAAGGCAGCCCTGGGGAGATCCTTCTCCCCAGTCCTATTGGTCCCAGCTCATTTCCTGCTACAAGTTCTGTTCCCAGAGGAGGGTCTGGTTGGAACCAAGGGCCGAAGGGGTAAAGTGGGAGATACAAGAAGGGGAAGGATAAAAACAATGGCAGAAGCCTCCCCTGCAGCTGTCCCAGCGAGTGCAGTGCTTACACACACACCTTTGCTCTTGCAGCAGCAGGACTTGTCATCAGTGTTTGCACACAGAGCAACACTGTAATATCCACAACAGCCAGCCAGGGGCACAGAACAACCTGCATTTACAGAGCAGTTGCTAGTAATGAATAACTTAATATCACATGGCTCAAACAAGGTGTAGTAAAGCCTCATTCTCATTTAAAACTTTTTTTAATCCAGGGATTTAACAAGACTGTTCTAACTTGTTCAGGTTTGAAGAAAGTCACTTATATACAATCCAGGCTCATTCCAATAAACCTTTGCTAGTAGAAATCATTACAGTTTCTACTAGGACTGCAAGTGTAACAGAGATTGCATTATGCTATTTCCATAGCATTAAGTTTACATTTGATTTGTTTGTAATTTACTGGGATCAATAACTAAATCAAATTATATCCTTAAATATTACAAACTAGAATGAGAACAGGTCTTTGATGCATTAGTGTTAAGACTTTCACATCTGAATTTCCAAATCAGAGTCATTAAAAGCAAGCCTGGCCATTAAAACCAGTAATGGTGCCTGACTATCACGCCTGTGGTTGCACATTCACTCACAAAGGAACAGTGACCTCCAAACCCCACTGCCCACAGAGCCCTGCTGCCCCTGTGTCAGCCAGGGCCAGACCAGTCACCCATCCCTTCCCAGCCACCTCTGGCCCAGAGCCCACGCACAGCTGTGCCAGCGGAGCAGCAGCAGAACAGCAGTGATGTGGCTGGGGCAGCTCCATCACACAAAGCAGCCCTTCAGAGGAAGGTGAAACCACAGCCTGGGAGATGGTCAGCCACACAGGTGAGCAAGGTTACTGCTATAGAACCAGTAGTATACGGCATAAAAAAATAATAAAAATCAAGTACCTTTAAAAGAAAGCTCACAGCCATCTCTTAGCTATCCTTCATTTTCAATTTAAATTTTCCTCATTCAATTTCAGCTATTTATCAATTATTGTCCAGCTTTGTGAATTATTTACATTGAAGTGCAGAATTAATGAAGTTAGTCAACTTATGTAATTTTGAATTTCTTGATTTTACTTTTTTCCTTCCTTTTAATCTAACTGCAGTGCTTGGTAGATGGAGAGGTATAAAGTGTGTTACATATTAAGCCCAATTAAAACATGTATGGCATCCTTACTTATACAAAGTACACCAATGTCATTTCATAGTGTTATTATAGTTCCATCTTCCTCTAAGGACTTACGGCCTGGCTCTGGGGCTTCATACTCCATGCTAATGCTGCCTGTTGAGTGATTCAAGCTCATCTCACTGGAAGGAAGGAATCCATTTTGTGTGGACTCGTGGAGGAGTTCAATTTGTGATAAGGATTCTATGCTTTCGCTGGCAGGCGTAGCTTTTGGGATGTGCTGCGGCTCGCCGCTGTCTTCAATAATAATGTCCTCCTCATCGCTCTCCTCCTCTCCTTGCAGCAGGCTGCCCAGCACGTTTGGAGTGCTGCTGGGGAGGCTGGACTCAGTGGACTGGCCGGAGCTGCCCGAAGTCCGACTGTTCCTCACGACGTTGTTCCTCTGGTTGGCGGGTCTGACCGTGATGATCAGGTTGCGGCTGTTGGCAATCATCATGTCTGTAACTTGATCGAGGCTTTTTCCTGACACCTCAATGCCGTTCACCTCCAGCACCTCATCGTTGACAGCCAGCAGGCCCGTGCTCTGAGCCAGCCCCCCGGGGACCAGCCTGGATATGAAGATGCCCGGCACCTTCTCCAGCCCGTGCGGGGTGACCCTGACGCTGGAGCCGTCGCGGATGTAGAAGCCCAGCGGTTTGTCGGTGCCGTACTTGTAGAGCCGCACCCTGCGGTGGGTCTCGGGCAGAATATCCACGTCTATGATGGAGGACACGGGCCTGAAGTCCTGGGGCATGCTAATGACAATGTGGGGCTTCTTCTTGTGGTTGTCCGGACGTAGCACGTTGGATAGGACGTTCTTCTTCCTCGTCATGGTGTCCGTCCCGAAGGCACTGTAGTCTGCATCCTCTGTAAGACAGAGCGCACGGGGATTAGAGCCCGCAGCAGCCAGGTCACACTGCTTGTGTGTGTTACCTCAGCAGAGGCCAACAGCTCCTCTACAAGGTGTCAGCCTTACTATCACAGAAGAGTTCCTCTCTACTCGTGAAACAAAAGCTTTAATGTTATGAAACACAAAGTTTGGAATACTTTTGGTTTTCTACTACTGAAGGAAAGAGCACACGCAAAAGAAATTAAAAGCAGTCAGCAGCAGACACAAAGAGCTACAGCTGCCTGAGAAAGGGTAGAATGGAAAGAGTGAGTACATTCCTAGAAACATTTTAATTTTATTCAGAGTAATTCCACTTGCTAGTTTTCTCTCCTCAGGTTTCAGATCATTGGAAAAGAAAGAATGAAAAAGGGAAAGCAGCCAGCGTGCCTATTATTGCCTAGTTACTGGGAGGCAGCCAAGTGACCTGGATTCAAACTCCAGAAAGCTTATTCCATTCTGCACTCTTCCCTGCCCCCACGCCATGTAGGTAAAATGGCTGTGGAGCAGAAACAAAGAGACCTCGCACACAAATACTTCAAGCAAAACTGTTCATGCAGGCAATGCTGTAACTGCCACAACTTGATACAGGAATAGGCAAATGGCTTAGAGCTTAAAAAAATCCAAAAGAAAACATATTAGTCCCACAACTACTTGTAAGGGACAAGAAAACATGTTCTGCGGAAGCAATACTGATTTCTGAAATGCTTATTTACCAAAGGTTCCATTTTTCATTTTAATATCCAATAACTCACCAAAAACAATCAACCTAAATTCATTCAGATCTGAGCTTCCTCTGATTTACACTCATAAATTGAGTGTAATCACTCAGACTACACACATCTTTGTTCTGCAGGGGAAAAGCCCAATAATCATGCAGAACTGGACTGCACTAACCCCAGGACCCAGAGAAGTTGGGATTTCTTTGTATTATCCCATTCAGATGCCATTGGTAGAGCCAAGAAAGTGGAAGAATGGTTATACATTCAATCTGTGGACTAGTCTGACTGTGGCAATGCTGCCCTGGTGGCATTTCAGGACAGCTGCCAGCTGCTGAGGAAATCAATGAGTGCATTTGCTTCTGAGGCTGAGATACACAGACATGAACCAGTTACATTTGGACTCCTCAGACGCTTCAAGCAAAATAGACCAGAGAAAGTACTCCTAGAGCAAGAGGCTAACACTACTGCAGCATCTAACACCAACTCCTCCCTTCCCTTCCCTTCCCTTCCCAGCCTTTAGGGCTGCTGAACACAAGAACAGTGCTTTGCCTGCTCTAGGAAGGCAGTCTTGGACCTGGTACTCTAAAAGATAAAGGACAAGAAGAAAAGAAACAAATTTAAATTAGCCCACAAAAAAACCCTCAAAGGGAATTATTGTCAACTCCTGGCTTGTGTGTACACAATAGTTCATCAACATGTTTTAGAAAAATGTGTCCTGATGATGGCCTCATTTACATCTCTTTTTTATTTCCTTTGTTTAAAAAAATAATTACACCATAAAGAAGGCAAAGCTCTTGCTTAGCTGTTTGCTAAACAAGAGCATCTTTTGCACTGATGTTTATAGATAAAGTTATTCAACAATTTAACTCACACAATCAGGAGTTATTTCTGAAGATACCTAATTCACACAGCCCTACTATAGCCTGAAGGCACTTCTGTAGCAATCTCAGTTACTTTGTAATTTAAGGTTTAATTAATATAACATTAGATCTTAACATCAAGCACAAAGGCTTTAGAAATAGCCTAAAATCTGATCGTTACATGTCTAAGATCGTTAGGTCAGCTGTGTTGAAGAGCTGGTGCATTAAAAAACCATTCAATCTCTCCAGCCAAAGCCTTCTAACAGGTGAGCAGTGTCTGAAGTGAAACACCTACAGAAATGCAAACTCAGCCTTTTCTCTGTAGAAGGCCCTTTGGAATGTCTGACTAAGATCAGCTGGTTAAACCCCTGTACTCCATTCACTGCTGACAACATACTGACTTTTCAGACAACATGGAACAATTCTTTTCATGTTGGCTAAAAATTTATGATCAAAGGGAAAAGTGAGAGAAGTTTTGCCCTTATCTCCCCTGACAACCCATCCAACCAGTTTCCAGTTAGACATCTGGTGTTTCACTGAAAGAATTTTTGCAATTCAATGAGGTGCAATAGCTTCTCTTTTTTTTATTTAGAACTACAACTGTTTACAAAACAACCTGGAAAGGACAATTGTGCAATCCGATCCTGGACAGGTCTTACTTTAAATACAAGGTAACACTTGCACTCACTCCTGCTGAAGTGCAGGCTGCTACTGAGGGCTCCAGGACACAGGTCCCAGCACACTGGTGCCACCCCAGCACTCGGCTCCTGCTGCTCTCAGTACAGCTGCTAGTTTAGAAAAAGGCACGAGAAAACAGGACAGCAGAGCTTTGTCAGGACTGACTCTGCCACGAGTGTTCTCCTGTGTCATTGCAACACGTAAAGGTGTTCAGTTGATGGGGTTTTCCCCTTAAATTCAAAGTGCACAAGGTCAGAGAATTAGACTGTGGTATTTTACCTATTCTGTCATATCAAATATGTAAAGCATTCCATGATCCCAGCTTGCCACAGTGGCTATAAGGCTTCTTCACCTTCATGGCAGGACACACACCCTGCAGGAAGTCTGGCATGAGCGAGATACACAAACAAATTTATTACATCCAAGTAGATCTATCATGTCCTGTAAATGGTCAAAGACAGTTTGTGCTCTTTACCCAAGTTAGATTTCGAACTGCTCCCAACTTCCTTCACAGAAGCCACCTCCCAGGCTGCCTTCCACAACTATCAGCTGGGAACTCCTGTCCTAATCAATTTTTTCCAGTTAGCAGAGAAGCACAAAGATCAGCTGCAACAGGACTGGCTTTGAAAGAAATATTATGTAAATCTCTGTATGCTAATAACAGATTCCAAAGGACTTTTTAAACAAAATCTAAGAGTAGAAAAACATTTCTTGGAAAAGAAAGGAACTTTAAAAGTCTCTTTCAGAAGACAAATCAGAAGTCTTAAATTGAGCTGGTGGTTTTGTTTTTAGTAACTTTCTTAAGTTACAGGACACATGGCTGAAGTAAAAGCATCCCAAAACTGCAAGCCAGATGTTAAAACATTTAAGAAACTCTGACAAACCAGAGGGAAAGTTTTTTTTCATTATAACTGCTCTTAATAGTTAAATAATTCAGAACTAGCACAAATCTTAAGATAAACAGTTAAGGTTAGAGAACGTGTGAGGAAAAAAAATAGTGGAAGGTTGATAGACTCATCTCCCCAAACGTCACCAGAACAGCACACTCTGGGTAACCTCTCTTCCACTGCTGAACAAGTTTTCTAAAGCAATACTCTCAAGTACAAAGGCATCTTTGTTCTGGCACCTCACTAATCAGTTTAAAGCCCCGGCAAAAATATTTTGGCCTAAAGCCAAAGGACAAGGTGTTAACTACAGATAGTGTGAAGGAGAAGGTCCACACAGGGCAGGAAGGATTTCTCCCCCCAGCAGGCTCAAGCTCAAGGTGGCACCGATCTGTACAGACTTATGACATGAAATTGAAAACAAAAGCCCACAAATGCCAAATCTGGTTTCAATTTCATGTTATTGAAGACAGGTTTTTGAAATATTTTCCTGACCCGTTTGCAAATCAATGTAGAGTTACCCATTAAGAATTCAATTTTCAAAGCCCCCAAGTAGTTAGTGTATTTGAACAGAGATGCAATTTAGCATTTTTTAAATATGACCCAACAAATCTCCTCCTATTTAGTCATGAAACATAACAAAATATGGTTTTAGGAAAGCAAGCTGTGTTTTTAGGAAGAGGCCTCAGAACAGCTAGGCTAGTCTACAAAGAGCTGTTTAAAAAGCCAACTGCTCTTACTTCTCAGCAAAGTAAAGCTTCTCAGTGACAAAGTGTCTCTCAAGAGGCACAAGTGGATTAACCAAAGAATCCACTTCTCTCTAAATACAGCCACATCCATGCAGAACTTGCAGGAGTTGGATATTGTAATTTAGAATCCTTGGAGGGACTGTTAAGGACATTATAATGAAATGTATCTTCTGTTATCTCTGCTGCTCTCGTATTTACAATGCAAAGCTCCCCACATCAAGCTGCCCTTCAGCCTATGCAGACTGTTCCCCTCCATTTTCTCTTCAGAAGGGTTTTTCTCACAGACAGAGTGACTCCCATACATCTGGATTTAATCACAATACATCAGTTTAACCTTTAAATACCAGATGTCAACAGTACCTGTTAATCTGTTAAACTGCAGAATGAAATTCCAGCAAGGAATGTTTTCTGCCAGCTGACAGCCAATCCGGACTTGGGCAACATCAAGCCCCAGTTTGGATTTTAGCACTGGAGCAGTTTATAAAGTATTTTAAAGGAATTTTGTGAAATACAGTTAGAGGACCCTAAGAGGAATAATTTGTGATTTCATTACAAGATCTCTAGGTTTTTTACCACATCACATCAACCAAGCCACACAAGTGTTCTGGACAAACAAAGCTTTCAGAATGAGAAGTCAAAATCAAACAGGAAAGAGAAGAGTTGTTACCCTGGCATAACACTTCCCAAATTCTGGAGTCCCATTATCACAACCATTGCTTATTAGTAGAAGCAAAACATCTTGCAGCTCCCATTTCAACCCCTCAAGGTGTTCCTTGGATGCAATATACTAAGAAGTTAATAGTATTTACATTAGATTTCACTGCAGTCTGCTCATACCTCAAGTTGGCTTTGCACAAATTACTTGAAGTTTCTAAATAGTTAAGACAGTATGATAAAAATTTCATAGATTATAAAGAATCAAAACACTGTCTCTCTCTTTCCCCACAGTGGCTTTTTTTCAAAGATCTTTAATTCCCAACTACTGCTGCTGGAAATACAAAAGAAGTCAAAATTCCATTACAAAACCCACAGAAACTTTTCAGCTGATTGAAGAGAATGCATGAAAGCCACAAGTAGCCTTGCAGGTGGAAAAGTAACTTGTGTCACTTAATATAGCTCCAAACCAGCCCAGATCCAAGCAGCCCCATCAATAGCAGGTATTTGCTAAGACATTTCTTTTCCATTCCAGAGGCAGAACCAGTAAGGTTGTTGCAATCTGTGAATTAAGGACACTTAAATCACACTGCACAAAATATGAACCATCCCTAACTCCACCAATCCAGCCTTGGTTACAGGCAAACCATCACAAATTAAATACACAGTACAGTTGTTTCTGTATTTTCCATCAAACAAACATCTACTCTGCATGCAAAGATGTCAGTACAGGCAAAGCCCCAATTTCATCAATGGATGTGATCAGTGTGATCACAACTAATTCCCAGCAAAGTGCAGTGGGGACTGTGGTGCCAGCCTGGGCTCTTTATTCCCTGAAACTACAGAGGCAGAAGGCTCTCGTGCCCAAGGGAAGGCAGTGACACCTGGAACTTCCTGCACAGCTTTTCCTACTCATCAATTCTTGTTCTGATAAACTAAAATGGAATCATCATCTTCTACTTTTGTGCATTCTATCAACTCCTGGCACCAGAGTAGTAACAAATAATCCACCTGGATCAAATCAAGGTAAAGGACTGTAGGAAACTAAAGGTGCATGATAAACACAACACTCGGAACAGGCAACGTTGGACCTGCCACAGTAGGAACAATCTAAAAACCATATGGTGTTAAAATATAAACTCAATAATCCCAGTCTGACAAAGGGGCTTATCCCTTCCTGTCATATGGCTACTGTAGGGGATTAGATGGAATCCCAGGCCTTGTCTCTCTCCAGGTTCTGCTAAAGCAAATGCTTCATGCCTTTGGCACTTCAGCACTGAGAGCACAGGCCTTAGAGCACACTCTATACTATCAACACAAACAAAACAAACATTTTGCCAGCACTCAGCAGCTGCCAAGCAGCCACACTGGTTATGAATATTGGGTTTGTGTCAGGCTCTTGTGGAGTTGTTCACTTTCTGGAGTGGGAGTTGACAAAAGGTTCTGATGCCCAAGCATTTTCTAAGGAAAAGATGCCTGTCTTCACAACAACCTGGAACAACACCACAAGAACAAATACAAACTTCCAATTGGATTTTTTTTCCCTTAATGAACAAAAGCAGACAGTAGGAACATAACCAGAGCAGACACAGTACTTTTACAGGCAAACCATCAAAGCAAGCAGCCCTCACTCCTGAGGTTTGCTAACTGATATAAGCTTGGCAGCTGAAAACTTCAAGATGTTTTATTAGGAAAGTGTGATAAGAGTAGCATATTACAAAGTTAGTCTTGAATTTATATTTTAATATTGCATTTAATACTTCATGTAATAACATTTTTAATATTACCTTCCATCCTGTAATGGTCTTCTTGTCTGATCAAGACTGGAATTTTCAGTGAAAAGTATCCAACATACAGAGCAGAAAAGCTTAGAGGTTAAAAGTTTATTTTCATCTGCTTACATAAAACCAGAAAGAAGCATTTGCTAGAGATTTAACTTGACTTTAACTCAACTAAATATAAGCAAAATATCACAAAGTATAAATAGGTTGCCTGAGGAAGCTCTTGCAAGAGAGACAAGTTGTGAATACCTTTCATGACTCATAATTATTACGGAATTTGACATGAAGAAATAGGACTGAAGGGTTTTTTCCTCCATACATCACACTGCAACTGGATGAACAGATGATTCACATTCCTCAAGTGCTCTTACCTTTTCTCTGAATGAAAATCCTGAGGAGAGGATTGGCTGTAGAGACTGCTTTGTGATAATTGTCATCATTATTGATAGGCAGCAGGTCTCCGTGAATGTCCGTGTACCCCACCAGAACATCAACGTTTGGGATCTTGTGCACGTGCTGCAGTAATCCATAGAACTCCTCAAACTTCCCAGGCTTCGATCTCTCCAGAGAAAATCGTCGAAATTCTGCCCCAAACTACAACAAAATACATCTTACATCATTAATATGGAAGCAACGATTATTTAATGTTAAACCAGAAATGTTATGGAATTAAAAGTGCACTAAAACCTACAACAAACAATTTTGACATGGTATAATAAAACAGTCAGTGAAAACAGTTGTTTTTTCCCGAAGTTAACACTAGTTTTGCACCTGGTGAAATGTGTACCTTTGAGCGTGCCAGGGCTGTTCCACTGCTCCATTTAACTGAGGGAGCACTGAGTGATGAACCGGGGCAGGGATGGCTGCAGCTTCCCACGGGCTCATGGAGCAGCCGCGCTGGGCAAGGGACAGGCCGGGGGCAGCACTGCTGTGGCACTGAAAGCAGGGCTGTGATTGACAGCCTGTGCTGTGTACCCACCTGGAGTTCGGTTCTGACAACTGCCCGGGCCCTTGAGAACAGCGTGCAGAGATCGTTACACAACCCTGGGTCACCCAGCAAGGCTGAGCAGCCTTCACAGCCCCGGCTGCTTGGGCAGGACGTGAAAACGGCCCTTGGCTGTGAGCACCACAAAGATGAAGAGCTGCTGCTTTCAGCACAACCCGCGTGCAGCACAGCTCCGGGGAGCTGATCTCAGCTCCGAGATGACAGAGGCGACAGCCACTGCCTTTAAGAGCATTCAGAAGATTCCTGCGCATGAGCAAGGCTCAAATCTTGATTGCAACGGTCTTTTAAATCAGGGTTCTATCCAGGGTATAGAACCTGGATTTTCCAAATCTGGTAAGGTTCAGAAAATATGGAAAAAAAAAAATTAGTCACTGCCACTACTTTAAGGGGTAGCATTTGCTTGTAGTCAACATAATCATTCAACAAAAAACCCAGCTCACAAATCCACTCAAGCTCAGTCTCCTACATCATCTCTAAAGCAAACACTTATTAAAACACGTTGCTTACTAAGGCAATAATACAGTGGGGGCAGGCAGAGACTCAACTGGGTGCCAAGAAAAGGATGAGCATTTGATGTAGACTAGACAAATTGTGATTTTTACCACACATAGCTAGTAAAATGTTGGTGCTCTGCCTAATAAGGGCAGGACCCAAAGCAAACAGAATATTGGATAAAAATTACTCTCAATCCTCCGTATCAGGCACATACACAACATACCAGAGACGTCAAAAGGAATCCAGAGATAGCAGCAGCCAGGTTACAAAAACCAGAACAGACTGTATACGAATTTAAAGGATAATAAGCTAATAATTCAAAAACACTCAGTTGGCTGCTTTTGTGTGTGTGAATTCTATTGCTAACCTACAGTGAAAATAAAGATTTTAAATACTTTCTTTAACAAGTTTAGTTTTAAGCAGAGCAGAAGCGCACCGGAACAAAATGCTCTGAGTGCACGTTTGAGCGTCAGTGTCACATACTTGGGTGTATTTTACACACAGGAGATGTGGAGGCGCACTTCACCTCACACTATTGCAATCCTTTGGAGAATAAAAGCCTTGGAGCTCTCACACACAAACAAAGCACTGAAAATCAGCAGACAAGGACCTCGTTGTTAGCACGTTAACACCACCTAACTCAAAACAAGCTCCACCTTCAACACCCCACCTTCCTCCAAAAGCTTCAAATAAAGGAATTATCTGGGAACATTCCTGCTCTAAAAAACCTGCAATTACCCTACCACTGACTAATGAGGCAGAAGGGATGATTCGTACCTGCTTACAAACAAAAGCCCAGCCCACGGGAGGAACTCCCGGCACGTCAGAGGCAGCAGAGCTCAGTCGTGACATCAGCGCAGGACCTGGTCCTGCCCCAGCTCCTGCCCCAGCTGCGAGCCCCGCAGGAGCTGCCCATGCACGGCACACATCGAAACTGTTTGGCTTTCAAGGATTACACAGCTTAAACACAGTTCAGTAATAAAAGTTTTAAAAAGCCAACAACCGCACCCTCAGGTTGGAATAAATGTTGAATCTTACCCCAGCAAGCAAAGGTCCAGATTTTCAAACGTGTGGTTTTTATTTTTTTCCATGTTATTTTATATACATTTGGTGCAAATACCAAAATACTCCTAACCCACTCGTATTTCCTAACACAGTTTGCTCAATACTATTAGAAAGCAGATAAAAGACAAGTCCAACAGTGCAATTCCATTCTTTGAACCGCTGAGATGTCTGCAGACACTTCTATCCCATGAAACAGGCCTGCACTTGATGTCCTAGAGCAGTAACTTAAGCAGAGAAGGCTCCTTGCCACCTGAGCTCTGTACAAGCCCTCCTGCCTCTGTGCCTCCCCTCTGTAACTCCCCCGGGAGAGGCAGGGGAGCCATGGAGCACAGCACGAAGGCACCCGGGATGCTCACTTAACACTCATTTATGGGTCACCCTTTTTAGTCCTCTGAAACACAGCGCAGAGATGCTCGATGCAAGTCTCCATCACTGACAGAACATGAGCTGCGGTCATCTTCTCTGGCTTACCAGTTTTTCAGATTGTACTCAGAAAAAAATGTTATTCCAAGTCATGAAAACGGGGGGAAACCTGAATTTTAATATATAGAGAACTAGAAACTTGGGGTTTCCATACCATCACTAGGAACTGTAGTCTGGGGTATAAAGCTTTATTTTCCATGGCAAGAAAATGGGCTGACTGGAATTCAAGTACTACAGGAATCGCCAGGGCAAGCTCAGAGCAGTTACCCAAACTGAATAAACTAAACTAACAAAAGGATTGTGCTCATGTAACTGCAAGCACAGTTGGGCCCAGCCTTGTCAGCTGAGGCACAGTTATTGATTTGGAATATCTAAATAAAGAGCTGTGCATCATGGAGCAGCCTTCAAAGCCCAGGCCACTCCACAGGAATGGCTCCCTCCACCTCCCACACAGGCGTTTCTTCTTTCTCTCCAGAATTGCTCATTTTCATAGAAGGAAGATGACTCCTCTGCGATATTAAATTGAGGTGCTGTTAAATAATGCATTAGTAACAAGTAGTTCTAGGAATGCCTTGAATCCTGCTCCATAATATGCACTTGAGGGACAATCCCTATTCATTAGGGCTACATTTCTCTGTACAAACACCAGGAACACATCCCAGGGCTGATCCCCTAGATAGATTTTAAATCAAGGAAAACACACAGCGGGGAAACAGTAGGGCTGAGGAAACAAGTGATTTGGGTTTGTAAGCACATCATACTGATCATTCTCAACATTATAAGAGCATAAATGAAAGACTTCCCCATCACAGTACTAACTTAACTGCTACGTGAAATAACAGCTACCTGATACTCCTGTGCTTGCTGGTTTAGGCCACAGGGAAATTGAACACTTTAAAGAAATCATCCTCATTCAGGCTGTAGAGACCAACCTCACACTGTCCAGAAGTTCCAACTCTAAATGATACATTATCCTGAAACATCCACACAGCTCGAGCCCTGACTGCTTCACCTGCACTTCTGCTCTAACACCTCACTAGCAGGAAGGGAGGGGACAGAGCACAGGCTGCTCCCCACTTCAAAAACAACCCAAGAAAGCCATGTGGCCACCAATGGAAAGAAAACACATTCCCACGTGGATGCACTTACAATCTGCCTAGGCAATGAAAAAGGGACTTTAACTCAACATTTCTTTAACTAATAGAGACACTCCACCTCATACTGTACATCCAGCAGTTTTACAATTGGAAATTATTATAAATATAAAGCAGAAAAAAAATCTAATTTCTCTCAAAATATCTAAATTTTATCAGAAAAACGTTGTCTAAGCATCAAAAAAAAATTTAAAAAGGAGTGGATATACACATGGGAGAATTTACAGAGCTGGGCAAAGCTGTGAGCACCTGACACAGGTGATCTCTGCGGGAACACACAAGTACACACTCCTGCAACACTGCCAGGGTAAAAGTCTCTCGGGGCCTCTAAGAGAAGGCAAACTCCACTTTTGGATAAGCTAGCCAGGGCTCACCTCTACCTCTACTGTGAGCCTACGCTGTACCGCACAAAAAGCTACAGAAAGACATAATCATTAGGGAAAAAAGGTAACTACAGAAACAGTCACTAACAAACGCACTCATCGCAATTCGGACAAATAGAGGATCCTGACGCTTGCAAATTATCACAGAACTGTTAGGGTTGGAAGGATCCTCAGGAGATCATGTACTCCACTGCCCAAGCATGTCTATAAACACCTCCTTGGCCCAGTGATCCCACGCTTTCCGTACATATTTGTCTGTACGTCTTTCAGTCCGTCCAGAGACTCAGGGGTCAACTCCACTTACCTGTTTTCTTTTAAACCCCTCAAAACCATTTATATTTTTTCCCCGCAGACAGCGCACCCAGCACGCGACCCCACCACCTCCGCCGGGGGCAGCGGGGCCAGGTGGGGAGGGAGCGCGGGGCCCGCCCGCCCGAGCCCGGTGGCCTGCGGAGCGCTCAGGCCCCGGCGGCCGTGCCCCGGCGGCCCCTCGGGCAGGTGAGTCAGCAGCTGACGCCGTCCCTGTCCCCGTCCTGTCCCCGCAGCGACACCGCGGCCCGACGGCCCCGCAGGGCCGGCCCGCTCCCTCCCCCGCGCCCGCGGCCCTCAGGCGGCGGCGACGGCTCCCACCTTGCTCTTCACCTCCATGGTGCCCAGGCCGCGGCTGCCCGCGGCCCCGCGCTGAGCCCGGTTCATGCCTCGCGCGGTCGCTGCGTCCGCTGCTCTGGCTCCTGTGTCCGCCGGAGCGCTGCGGGACGGGCAGCGGCGCGGCCCAGCCAAGAGCCCCGGCACCCGCGGCCGCTCCGCCGCCTCCGCCCTCAGCGCGGCCGAGGCCGGGGCGGGGCCGCGCGGCTCCGGCACCTGCCGGGCACCGGGGCGGGGCCCTCGCGCGCCTGCGCCGCCTCCGCGGGGCCGCGCACGGGCGGGGTCGCGCACCTGCGGCCGCAGCGCAAGATGGAGGCGGCGGCGCGGGAGCGATGCGGGAGCGGTGCGGGCTCTGTGCTCCTGTACCCGCTGCAGGTGCAGGCCCTGCCTCCGCAGCCGTTGTCCTGCACGGGGCTGGAGCGCGGATCGGCTCCCGCTGCCTCCGCGGGCACCTCCCGCGCCGGGGAGCCGCCATCCCGCGGCTCCGCATCCTCCCGCGGCCCTCAAGAGCCTCCATGCCGCGCTCCGGGTCGTCCACAGGCCTGAGGAGCCAGCCCTAACCCTAACCTAACCCTCACCCCACAGCCCTGAGGAGCCAGCCCTAACCCTCACCCCACAGCCCTGAGGAGCCAGCCCTAACCCTCACCCCAGAGCCCTGAGGAGCCAGCCCTAACCCTCACCCCACAGGCCTGAGGAGCCAGCCCTAACCCTCACCCCACAGGCCTGAGGAGCCAGCCCTAACCCTCACCCCAGAGCCCTGAGGAGCCAGCCCTAACCCTAACCCCACAGCCCTGAGGAGCCAGCCCTAACCCTCACCCCAGAGCCCTGAGGAGCCGCCATCCCCAGCCCTGCGCCCCTCACGGCCCCGCAGCCCCCCGGTCAGGCTGCCCTGGAGGCTCAGACCCCTCAGCCATCGAGCTTGGGCATGGCTGAGCCAGCTCCGGACAAGGATCCCTTCAGCCACAGCAGTTCTGTGATTCGGGGATCTCGGGGTCCCACGGGTGTAACACACAAACCACACCAGTGTTAGTTGATGTTTGCATATTACATAAATAAATCTTGGTCAGGCCAAGAGTTTGAAGTCTTCCTTTCAGGATGTGGTTCTGTGTCCACCTGTCTGTAAAGGTGTTCATGGAGCTCGTTTTCATTTTAGTTGCAAATAAGATTGTGGGATCCGGTAACGTCAGAGATAACCTTCCTTGTTGTATTAATTCTGAGACAGATCAATTTAGTCTAAAGGCCAGTTAAGCTACCCTGACAAAAGTACAATCCCCAGAGATTGTAAACTGTCTGAAAGAAAAAGACTTGTCACATGTATGGACAAGAAGAAAGGATGTACATTAATCTCATTATGTCAACAGACCTTTGAATTACAGGTCTCTCCATTATCCATAAATCTGGTAGAGGAGAACGCAGTGTGAGGTTTCATGGTGTAGATCTGTGTGGGGAGATGTGGATCTGCATGGCGGTGATGGGAGCTCAAACAATGCCTTGCACCTGAGGCACGCCACGGGTGTCTAGTCAGTTCTCAAGTCTCACTTGGTAATCAGTAATTAAATAAAAAGCATCCAGTGCTGAATCACTTCTAAGTCGGTGCTGATTTTTGTGCAGTTGATCTTCCTCCCATCACGCCAAAGGCAAAGGAATTGCAGCTCTCACTCGAGCCAAGACAAGCTGTAATTAGCACAGAGGATATTGTTAATAGTTAAGTATAGTTTGCTGCCAGACGGTGTCTAGGCTGATTCAAGTCTTCTCATCCTTTATCCAGCATGTTTTGGTTTTACACTGCAGAAGGATGCATGGAGAATTCACCCTGTAAATTCAGATAGAATCTGTGATCCTGGTGCAGTAGTAGGCAGATTACAGCTATGAGAGCAAGACCAGGATAAAACCTCTTATTCTGTCACTTTGTAATTATAACATTGCAAAGAGTTTGGACTGCTTTCCATATCTGTCTTCTACAGCTCTGTTTAATGAGCTGAGCACGGAGAGGAGTGCAAGAGACAAGGGAACAGTGATTTCTCTGGGGCTTTAAAGTTGTTGGGTTGGCTCTTTTCTCCTGGAGAAAGGGAGGGAAAACCTCCTGAAGCTGATTTCTGCTCGGAGACGCTGTGCAGTTAATTTTACTGCTATAGATTTATGAGGTATCGCCTAAGATAATTTGTTTTCTATTGTGCATTCCTAGCATGGCTGGAGTGCCAGGCAGTGGGTGTGGGAGCGAGCCTGAGGAGTCAGGGCAAATTCATTTCAAGTCACTGGAACCAACCTAATAAAATGTATTAATCACTGGCTGTCTTTCATCACAAGGAGCTGACGTATGAGGAAGGAATGTGATAAACAATTTGATCTCAGATAAAGGTGGGGAGGGAGGCAGGCTCTTTGTGCCTGCTGTAAGGTGAGCTTATAGAGCTATTTTAGTCACAAGTTCTGTACAACCTGTGATTCAGACCTGATCCAGCTATTCATGGCACGTTCCGTTTCTGTGAAGTTGAAAGACAGGTTGGGTTTCCTGATCTCTGAGCTGCTGGGGGAGCTTTTTTGGGAGGCCTTTTTTTTTTCCTTGTTTGTTTTGGTGTAGAAATTCCATCACTTAGGTCCACCGTGCAGTATAGCGAGATTGTGCTGTGATGTTGCTTTCCTATCCTAGATTTCCCACATTTCAAGTGGAATTAAGGCTGTTCCATACAGCCCTGCTGGGAGTTCACAGAGTACTTCCAAGAATAAAGCACAGAAAATTTCTGTCAGCATAGGTTGACTGTTATTGATGATCCACCTAATCTTTTATTGCATAGTTCAGGGCTTATGCTGACTTCATATTTAACATAAAGTAGTCTTTATTTACACTGCCAGTGCCAGCTCAGAGGAGTGATTGTTAGATGTACTAGATTGTAATCTGATCTTGTCTTGGAGTTGATGAGAGACTGGAGAGTTTTTTTGATGGGAAGAGAAAACTAAAAGGGAAAAAGAGAAGCTTTATTTTTAAAATGATAATAAGGTCCTGCTTTCTTTAAAAAATAAATTCTGTACTTACTTTGATACCTTCTGCAGTTTTGATACGTTAATCTTGTGTCCCAGTTACATTTTCCTACAAAGAAGCATTTTCAACAGCAGTGTGTACACTTGGATACTCCATTTTTGAATATTAGGGACCAGCGTGACCTCAAATTGCTTTTGCCCTCCCCTTGGTGAGCGAGGGACGCAGACAAACCAGTGCTGCCATGAAGGCATCTGATGTTCACAAATGCAGAAATATCGCAGAGCACTGCTCCCAGGTGCCCAGGAATCCAGGGAAATACATTGAGTCCCTTTCTGCTGATGGGGCTGATCCTGAGGCAGGAGCTGTGAGTTCACAAATGCTGCCTCAGAGAGGAAGAGCCTGACAAGGGGAGCTTGTTACAATGGATCTCCATGGAACACGCTCCATACCAACAGCTCCACACAAACACAGGAGCAGGGCTCAGCGAGTAAACCCCAGGGCATGGCAACACAGCTAATTTATAATAGCAGGAGTATTTAAATAGCACTAGTGTAATGAAAATTTTATTGCTTACCCCAAAATTGTGACGGCTATAGGATTTTAATTTTGGGGTGGGTTTTTAGTTCATTTGTTTGTTTGAGTTTTTAAAATGTTATTTTCTTGAGGGGGAAACAGTAGTTGGGTTAGTAACTAGTTTTTGTGTTCTGTTTCTGCCTTTGCTTTCTTCTTTCCTGTCAGGAAAACCAGCAGCATGTTTTTCGTCCCCACTCCTCCTCCAGGAACCTTCAGTTGTTACTTTGATGCAATATTTACTTACCTGTGACAAAATGAATTTATTGTTTTTAAAGCTCATACATGAGATCTTTTCCAATAAAATATTTATTGGGGTTGGGGGGTTTTCTTTCGTTTTGTATTTTATTTTGTCTGCCTTTATGGGAAAGGTTGTCTCCATACCATGCTGCCTGTGAAAGAAACATTTGTTTCAGGTGTGTTATAAATCCAGTTACAAACAAGATCCAGCAATAAACTCATGAAGTTTTCTGAAAATACTTTCCTAGCAAGTCATAATCCGATACTGATACATTAATTTAAATTCTCTGAGGTTTCTAACTAAAATAATGAAAAGCATTTAAAGCTTTTTCTTCCCCTTCATCTAGTAATCCATTTGTGTCCAATGACTCTGAATTCCTTTGGAATTCCCCCTTGTTTAAACAGGGCAGTTTGAGCCCAGCTGACTCCTCACACTTGCACTGCTGTGGGGTTTAATGATTTAACTCTCCTGCCCGAGCAGCTCAGAGAGGCCACGCTGGTGCTGAGCTGTCCAGCTCAGCGGGTGACACTTCAGGGGTTCTTCACACAAAAGAATTTGTGAACATTTCCTGCTTGGTTTTGCACTACTCACTGAGTATTCCCTATTCCCGGGCCAGAATTTGGGGGGGGGCGGGGGGAAGGCAAATCAAAAGAATAATTGTTGCAAAATTTACTTTAAACCTTGTTTGGTACAGATTGGGATTTAAATTTTGTCATATTCTTAGATAAAAAGCTCCGCTTAATAAGCCTTTTGGAATAAAGCCTTTGCTGTTGTGCTTATCTGGAAAACATATTATGGCTATTTGTGAAGAGAGCTCTGCCCTCTGCTAGTGACTGTCACCCAGTAAATGTGACAGAAGTGACACCTTTAAGTGCCAGCACTGAATAAAGAGCACTTGCACCTTTTGCCACAAAGGAACATTTCTACATGAACGGTGGTTGATAGACCTCAAAATTACAGTGAAGGAGCCTCTGTGGACTCCCCAGTTTAATCTTTTACAAGCAGCAGCTCCTGTTCTAGTGCCTGGCACCGCAGCTGGAGTGGCCCGTGCTGTGAGGTGTCCCCTGTCCCCCAGGTGTGCTGGGTGAGCACAGGGTGTTATTTTGGCCTCCCTTTGGGAGTTTGGACTGCTCCCGTGCCTTACTGAGGCAATGAATGCGTTGTGCCAGTGATTCCTGCATATACAATGATAGCAAAAATAATGGTAGCTCTTAGAAAGTAGTGAACCATGGCTTGTTGAGGTTGCATTATTATCGGATGGCACAGGAGTCAGGCAGGAGCGCTCACACAGGCTCGCCCCTCGCCCAGGAGCGCCGCAGTGCTTGAGAAGGCCATCGGACACTTGGGAGGGGAATGGCTGCGGCCTGGCCGTGTCCATGGCGCGGGGTCGCCGCTGTCGCGATTGTCGCCGCTGCCGCCACCGCGCGCCCCCGCAGGTGCAGCGGGAGCCGCCGCCGCCAGAGGGCGCCTTGCCCGCGCTGTCCCGGTCACCCGGGGCTGCTGCGACCGGAGCGACGGCCGTTAATGACACCATTAATGACACCATTAATGACACCATTAATGACACCGCTAATTACACCGCTAATTAATTACAGCAGCGGCCTTGGTGCACCAGACTGCCCAGGACATGAACCGCCCCCACAGCCTTACCTGTATTTGTAATGGCTGTGTCACATTGCTGTCACCGTGCTTTAAAATGTCACTCACGAAATCACTGAATGGCTCGGGCTGCAAGAGACCTTAACGCTCATCCCATTCCACCCCCTGCCACGGACAACTTCTGCTCTCTGAGGCTGCTCCAAGCCCCATCCCAGCTGGCCTGGGACACTTGCAGGGATGCAGCACCTCCAGGGATGGGACAACGTTCCCAGGGATGGTGCACACCCGTTTGAGTTCTTTGATTTGTCAGAGACTTCTTGTCGTAATCATAAAATGAAGTTATCAACACTTCAGAAAAATACAAAACAATTATAAGGAACAATTTTTTTGGGAAATATGAAACTTTTATTGTAATCAGATGATCAGATTAATTTAGGCTTTTTTGTCTCAGTGTTTTATGTGTCCATACACAAAAAGCCAGCTCCCTTTGAGACCCCAGAGAGAAAACAGTCAGGTGTGTACACATTAGTGCAACAGAACTGCCCCTGTTTATTAACCAGATAGTGCTGGGGCAGTGGTTGTAAGTAAAACTACAAAAGTACAAGGCAAGGAGACTTGAAAAGTAATTCAAATTTTCCATGTATGTCACATTTGGAAATACTGAATCCTGTGAGTTCAGCCACTGTCCCAGTTGTGTTGAGGTTTTAGAAGATACTCTTTGCTTCTCTTGGCAGGTCTCTAGCTTCCCTCCTGAGCTATAATAGCAGTAACTAAAAACTCCAGCACAGATAGATGCACAAAGAGGGAAAAATAATCATGTGCTTGGACCTGGGATGTGTATTTACAGTTCCACCTCCCAATAACCCCCCCTCAGAGGCTCAGAGCAAATGCTCTGGGCAGGGATGGTTTGCTGGAACATGCTCTGCAGTTTGCTGTGTTACAGCAATGAAAGTGCCTGGTCAATGCATCAATGGGCTGAGAGAGAATCCACCTCTCTGCAGATCACTCCACATTATGAAGATGTAAGTAACATTCTAAAATTAAAAAAATACCAACTAGAAAGGGGTGGGGTGGAGCACAGGCAAATGTTGGCATGCATATTGCTTGCATTAGGAGCAGCAAGAATTGTTGTCTCTGCAAGAAGCCTGGTGCAAAGGATCCCAGCAACGGGCCCAGCTACTGAGTTTCAGCTCTTGTTTTATAAACAGAGCTCTGGTTTACAGCAGCCTTTCTAAAAGTCAGTTTAGTCTGGATCTTGAGAAGCTGGGCTGGTCTGCTGGTTGGCTGCCTGTAATCTGCTCCATTTAGAAAACAAACAAAACCAACTTTATTCAGGATTTAAACAATAAAGTTGTGATTAATCTGATTATGCCAGAGCACTGGTGATGCTGAAGCACTGAATGTTTAATGTTGTTGCAGCCACGGTGAATGCTTTGTTGTAAAATTATCTTTGTGTATTGTTGGCTTACAGTGATGGATGTTGAGTGGCTGAATTTGGGAAGGGTTTTTGTGAAGCGTGCTGAGATCCTGGAGGAAACATACTGGCATTTTTTAATGTCCCTGTAGGTCTGAGACACATCAGAGTGTGTTTTATTTTTTCACTGTAAATATTATAATGGTGCCAGCAATGCAGTATTTACTGCTTCTCATATGCGTGAGAATACTAAACATATGTATTTCTAAAGAAATTCCAGAAGAATGTGAAACTAGCTTGTAGCAATAATTTGTAGGTTTGTGTCCATTGTTTTCAGGAATATGTAAATTGTTACATTATAGAACTCACTTTGAACCCTGCTGCATAATTAGCTGCACTAAACATCAGTATTCAATTTGGGAAATCTGTAGCCAAGTGTTTTATTAGAGTTTCGTGGAAAAGGAGAATGTGAACAAAACCATAGAGCAAATGATCTGAAATGCAGTTAAAAATAATGAAAACCAAGCACCAGCCACATAAACACACCAGATGAAGACACAGCAAATGAAGATCATAAAAAGTAAACTGGAATAAAAACACATAAAGCCATTCCTCAGCTGAAGTAAACGGGGAATCTGCACCAGGAGTGAGGGAACCGTGGCCATTGGTGTTTGCTGAGGGGCTGCTCTGTGCATTTTGTCAAGAGGCTCATGGTTAGGAGGAAATGACATTAACAGCAATGGCTTTTTTGGGCAACTGGTTGCACAGGGCTCCTGCAGAGATTTGGTGTTGTGACAAATGTCCTCCTACAAAGCCAGCTGATTTCAGCTTGTCCCAGTGTGCTCCATGCTGCTGTGGGGCCAGCACTGGGGCCAGGGCCCTGCTGCAGGAACAGCAGTGTTCTAGCTGTGTCCTGGGCTGCAGGAACAGCAGTGTCCCAGCTCTGGGGCCAGGGCTGCAGGGCCAGCAGTGTCCCAGCTCTGTCCTGGCCTGCAGGGCCAGCAGTGTCCCAGCTCTGTTCTGGGCTGCAGGAACAGCAGTGTCCCAGCACTGTCCTGGGCTGCAGGGCCAGCAGTGTTCCAGCACTGGGGTCAGGGCTGCAGGAACAGCAGTGTCCCAGCTCTGGGGTCAGGGCTGCAGGAACAGCAGTGTCCCAGCTCTGTCCTGGGCTGCAGGGACAGCAGTGTTCCAGCTCTGTCCTGGGATGCAGGGACAGCAGTGTCCCAGCTCTGTCCTGGGATGCAGGAACAGCAGTGTCCCAGCACTGGGGCCAGGGCCAGCAGTGTCCCAGCACTGTCCTGAGCTGCAGGGCCAGCAGTGTCCCAGCTCTGTCCTGGGCTGCAGGAACAGCAGTGTCCCAGCCCTGGGGTCAGGGCTGCAGGAACAGCAGTGTCCCAGCACTGTCCTGAGCTGCAGGAACAGCAGTGTCCCAGCTCTGTCCTGGGCTGCAGGAACAGCAGTGTCCCAGCACTGGGGCCAGGGCTGCAGGGCCAGCAGTGTCCCAGCTCTGTCCTGGGCTGCAGGGACAGCAGTGTCCCAGCACTGTCCTGGGCTGCAGGAACAGCAGTGTCCCAGCACTGTCCTGGGCTGCAGGAACAGCAGTGTCCCAGCTCTGTCCTGGCCTGCAGGAACAGCAGTGTCCCAGCTCTGTCCTGGCCTGCAGGAACAGCAGTGTCCCAGCACTGGGGCCAGGGCTGCAGGGCCAGCAGTGTCCCAGCTCTGTCCTGGGCTGCAGGGACAGCAGTGTCCCAGCACTGTCCTGGGCTGCAGGAACAGCAGTGTCCCAGCTCTGCCCTGGGCTGCAGGAGCTCCTGAGGCTGGCACACAGGCCCTGCCTGGGCAGCCTGCACAGCCCCAGGGAGCAGCAGGACAGCTGAGAGGCGTTTGCTGGGCAGGGCTCTTCAGGCACTCCGTGGGTGTGACCATACCCCCCCAAATGCCAGGGAAATCAAGCCAAGAGTTGGAGTTACAATGACTGTACAGTCATGTACTCACCTGTACAGATCCATGGATTTGCATCTCCTTGCTTTGTGCCCCAGCTGTGACACTCATGGTGTTCCACCACTGCCCTTTGCAGGGCTCCAAGCCCCAGGCATTTTGAAGACCTGGTGTGAAACCCACTTCTGCTTGCATCTCAGCACAGTTCTTTCTGACACAAATAAGACCCAGGGTGCTCGAGTCGTTGGCTCAGGCAATTCCATCTGCCCATCTGGTTTTGCTCTCACTTTCATGTGTGCCAGTTCCCTCATGCCTCTCCTCACAAGCATGTTCAGCTGTGCAAGAGATCTTCCTCTGCCTCCTTCCAGACTTTCCTTTAACAATGTGCACAGGAAAATACAAATCCTGACCAACTGCATAAAGAACTGAGAAGGAAAGCGGTAACCCTGCCCTGAGAGGTTCTTGTGTGGGATCTCTGGTCAGCTGGAGCTTTGGGAGCTTCACTTTGTGTTTCAGTCTCCTGCAGTGGGGTGGATGTGTGAGCTGGATGGTGCAAAGGGAAGAAAACACCATTAGTAATAAAGTTATGGTGAGGGCATGGCCAAATTCCATGCAGTCAGCTCATTTTCCCCGTGGGGAGTGTCTGGCTGCCTGTGCTCTCAGTCAGCACGGGGAAGTGCTGCTGGGAACCAGGGGAAGATGGGAGATGGATGAGGCACAGAGGCAGCCGAGGTGCTGTGCCCAGGCAGGGACGGGTTTGTGTGGGCTGTTTGCAAAAGGCCCGGCCGGGCATTGTTCAGGAGAGAGGCGTGAGTGTATGGGGTGAGACAAGGAGCAGGGAGATCCCAGGCTGCTTCCACATGGCAGCTTCACCTCCTCCTGCCAGGACTGCCTGCAAGGGGTCTCGAGGGCTGGCAGGGGGGAGCTCATGCCCAAGGAGCGGCACCTGCCCCACAAGGAGGTCAGTAGTGGGTGCAGCAGGAAGGACTCGAGCAGGATTGCTCAGCAGAGACTCAAAGCGAGCAGATGACATCTCCCAGCCATGGAAGGGCGGGATGGGGAAGGCAGGAGGCAATGAGAGGAAGAAAGGTGATGATGGTGATGATGATGATGGTGATGGTGATGGTGATGATGATGATGATGATGATGATGATGATGGTTAGCGTTGTATGACCGAGGGCTGCAAGAGGAGGGAACCTTTAAAGGGACGGTGAAGAGGCAGTGCGGGGTGAGGGCAGAGGAGGAGGGAGCAATGGCTGGGGAAGGTGGGAAAGGCGGGATCCGGCACGGCAGAGGCGGCCGGAGCCGAGGGGTACGGGCAGCAGGGGAGCGGGGCTGTCCCCGGCCGGCAGGGAGGGCGTCCCGGCCCGGGGCAGCCGCCGCTGGAGGAGCGAGAGGGCGCCCGGGACGCTGCTGGTGAACAGCAGAGGGTCCGGGCCGTGACCGCGTTCCCAGCGCCCCTGCCAGCGCCAGGGGGGTCGAGGGGGAGCGAGGGAGGGAGGGAAGGAGGGAGGGAAGGAGGGAAGGAGGGAGGGGAGCGAAGGGGAGCAGCGAGCGGCGCGGAGCGCTCGGCATCCAGCGGCAAACGAGCGCTCCGGAGCCGCGGCTTCCTGGAAGCGGAGCCCGGCTGGGCGGCGATAAGCGGCGATAAGGGCGGCTGTCCGGGCCCTCCGCACCCGCCGCGACAGCCGCGACAGCCGCGACAGCCGCGACAGCCGCCACGGCAGCGGAGCCGAGCCGCGCTGCGCGCCCCCAGCGCAGGTGGGACACAGGTAGGGCACAGCTGGGCACAGCTGGGCAGAGGTGGGACACAGGTTAGGGCACAGCTGGGCAGAGGTGGGACACAGGTGGGACACAGGTAGGGCACAGCTGGGCACAGGTGGGACACAGGTAGGGCACAGCTGGGCACAGCTGGGCAGAGGTGGGACACAGGTGGGACACAGGTGGGACACAGGTAGGGCACAGCTGGGCAGAGGTGGGACACAGGTGGGACACAGGTAGGGCACAGCTGGGCACAGGTGGGACACAGGTAGGGCACAGCTGGGCACAGCTGGGCAGAGGTGGGACACAGGTAGGACACAGCTGGGCACAGCTGGGCACAGAGCGGGCGCGGGGAGAGCTGCGGGGCCGGCAGGGGACATCACTGGCAGGACACGGACACCTGGGCCGGGAGGGGGCACCGGCGGGGGATGCGGTCCCCGGGCTGTCAGCGGGCAAACCTCAGGGCATGCCAGGGTTCCTGCAGAGCTGCAGCCCCGCAGGGAGGCTCGGTAGCTTTTAGCCGGGGTGAAACAGCCCGGAACCCCGGCAGGACAGCACCTGGCTGGGGCAGGTGGAGCTGTGAGAGGAGCAGGGTGAGGTTTATGCCATCCCAGTTTGCCTTTTGGAGGTGTTGTTGCATGAGCTGGTTGTATTTTAGTTAACTCTCTTTGTCTGTGCAAAGACTACGTTTTATTTGCCTTTTTTTTTTTTTTATTGCTTATTCGTGTAAATACAAGTTGAGGTTTTGGGTCACAGCCCAGTTACATTTTGATTCAGACAGAGTTTAATTTCCCCTTTTAAAAAGTGTTTTAAATAAGTTGGGCCATATGGAAGTAGAGTTGTTAATGAACCAAAGAATCTTGAAGGAGTTTGAAAAATAAGGTTATACATTTCTGGAGCCATTTCTTGAGTATTGAACCACCACCAGTACTCAAACTCCTGATTCAGTCATTTCCTTTGTTGGGATCAAGACTAAATCTGTCCATACCTGTGTTTTCACAGCTGCAAAATGGGAGCTACACCTATTGATGAGGTGCTTTACTTTTTTTTTTCCTTTTTGGAAAACCCTTAATTAAAACCAAGAAAAGCAGAGGAAGATCATTTGCAAGGGTAGTAAACAGCGCAAAATATGTCTGAGGGAATATTGCATGTTGGCTGGAGAGGCTCACCAGAGATGCTGTGGCTGAAGGAGTGTGCAGTGGGGAGCTCCTCTCTTGTGTTCCTGTGCCATGCAGTTCATCCCTTCCCTGCTGCTGCTCTGACTCCTGCACAGTGCCTGACACGAGCACCACGTGGAGCAGCGCAGGAAAAGCTGCACAAACCCTGCCAGAAAGGGCTGGAGCTGCCCTGGAGTGGCAGGCCCAGCCTCTTTGTGCCCCAGGTCTGGAGAGGAACGTGTGGGATGCAACACGTGTGAGCTGGTGGTGCACATTAACCTGGCAGCTTTCCCCTTCAGCTACAGCCTGGGTACCCTCTGGGGAATGGAAGGAGCTGCCAGGGCTCATCCTGGGCCAGGGCTGCTCTGGAGCTGCAGGGCTGCTCTGGCAGCAGCACGGGCAGGGCTGTGGGGAGGGAGGCCAGGAGGGGGGTATGGAATGGCTTCCCCAAGGGACAGGGGAAGATGGGATGGTTTCCTCCTGCCAGGACAAAGAGCAGCTGCACAGCTGCTCTGCAGTGCTGTCCCCAGCCCTGGGTTCCTGTGGAGCAATCCAGGCAGGGAGCTGGGATCCTGTAACACTCACCCACCAATGCCACTTTACTGCCTTCCCAGCTCATGAATTCCTTCACAAATGCTCCTTTGCAATATCCTCACAAAGAGTCTGAGAATGGACTAGAGCCACTCTAGAAAGGGAAACCAGGCTCAGTCTGAGGGCAGGGGAAAGTTGTGATCCTCATGTGTCCCTCAGGGGTCTGAGGAGTGACAATGTGGGGTCACAGAGCACCAGGACAAGGCAGAGGCTCTGGGTATAGAAAGTTATCCAAGATAAAGCAAGGGAGGGGGAACTGTCTCTGAAGGGTTATTAATTTGTTGCATTTGGATGAAATAAATAGAAAGACTGGAACTGAAGGACATAATTTGTGTAAAATAGTAGGTTTAATATTATTTGAATCTGCACACTTGATCTTAGCCAAAAGGCTGAGGGAGCAGACAGAGTTGAATTATCCAGACTGTTGTTGGCCAGCACTGGGTTTTGGAAGGTGATTGGCTGGTGACAATCCAGAATTATGGACACTGAGTTGTGCAGAGGATGTCAGCCAGCCTTTAATGGCTACAGGTGCTCGGGGCCCTGGCTTCAGTTCCCAGCCCTGGATGCTGCCTCCAGAAGCACAGAAGGGACATCCATATTTATGAAATACCAGGTCTTATCCACTTTTTTCAACTTTTCCATTTCTGCTGCCAGTTTATTCTCCCTGAGGACAGATTGCTTTAAACCAGTATGTCTTCAAAGACAGAGTGCCTGAAAACTATCGTTTTTATTCAGTTCAACTTTTCAGGGCAAAAACTTGGTTTTCAGACAGACAAGGCATTTAATCACCAGTAATTCAGTAGATCAGAACACTGAGATGATCTTGTAATTAATACAGAAATACCCTTAGTGTAGTTAGCAAACAGATTTATATGTAACTGCTCTAGATGGGAATTTAGCTGTTTCAAATTAAATAATAAAAACTATTTTATGGAAAACATATGCAATTATTATTGGGACAGTAACTGTGTCAGTAACATTTTATTGCTCATCCAATATGTTCTTTCCGTGAATCCATCCCTGATCTGCTTGATGAAGTAGCAAAAATCCACTTCCATTATTTCCATAATGTAAAATCTATTTGTTCTCAAGAGCTTGAAGAGCCCAGGGCTGCATGTTTTGGGGAGAATTTTTTCAGTGGAGGGGGGCTCAGGCCTTGGCAGGGGCTGCCCAGGGAGGGCTGGGGTGCCCATCCCTGGAGGTGTCCAAGGAATTCCTGGAGGAGGCACTCAGAGCCTGGGGACAGGGCGGGGATGGGCACAGCTTGGATTTGGTGTTCTGGGAGGGCTTTTCCACCTTTAGTGATTCTGTGATTCTGGGAGGGGCAGCTGAGTTTTACAGACACTTGAGGGGTCTTGGCCTCGTGGCTCCTGACAGGTCAGGTGTGAATGGTGGTGATCCAGCAGTGTTTGTGCAGGGCTGGAGATCAGAGATCAACACCAGCCTTGCTCCATTGCACAGGGAGAGCCATGTTTATGATGAGGGAATGAACCTTGTTCCTCTCAGCTGCATAACTGATTTATTTCACACGGTAGGAACAGCAGTAGCAGAGCACTCATCATTTTAGTTTAAAAACCCCTGGCTTACAGACTGTGTTTACCATGAGAGTTTTCTCTGACCGTTGCTGAAATGCTTTAAAACGTGTTAACACAGCTTTGAGCTGTGCACAAACAGCCATGGCTGCTGTTCTGTGTGCCAGGGGAGGCACAGGGGTGACCTGGTTCCGTGTGCTCACAGATCCCTCTCTGCCTCACGTCCTCGCACACAGAACAACAACATCACTTTCTTCTTGCAGGATAGTTCATGTTCTGGCCCAGAACTACAGCACCAGATGTGTTGCCACAGAAACAATTTAAAGGGAGAAGGAATTGTGAGCAAATTGTCTTTCTTGTGGAAAATGTTTGAGAGCCTCCCCTTGGTTTCCCTGTTTCTATCTGTGTGTGTGTGCACGGCAGAGAATAAGGGACAATTTTGCTTTTGTTTCCTACATCTGCTATTGGTTTAAAATTCTCTATACAGGGTTGAAAATTGAAAAATACTCTATTATGGGCATGACTTATGTACCTCAGAGACATTTTTATTAAATCCTGATTCATTTTTAGAAACTTTTTTCCTTTAAAAATGTGCTGTGTGCTAGCTGATTTACTTACCTCCACTTGCAACATGCTTTGGAAAATATTTCCAGTCACAGTTGTTTCTGTGAAAGTAAGAAAACATTTGACTTTGTAGTTACCCCAGATTTGGATGCTGAGAATTAGGATCACATTCTCCTTACTACAACTGACATGCTGATGAAAAGAGGGAATGTTTACAGGAAATATTTTGATTTAATCTTGCCTAGGAAACCTTAAAGTAGCCAAAGCCCTTGGTTTTAGCTAGCATTTCTTTTTCTCAAACCAGTGAATGCTCTATTCAACACACTCTTTTCTCAGCTGCTATGAAAATATTTCTCTGAACAAAATGCAATGTGAATTACCTTAACATGTCCTTTTGACATTCCTGACCACAGCATGACATCCTTATCCTGCAGGTTTGCATTCTGTTTGGGGAGAGTAATGAGAGGAACATCCAGGAGGGTCCCAGCCCTGGCAAAATTTCCCAGAGGCCACAGCCCAGACATCAAGAGCCTTGTTCCCACAGCTCTTTGTGCTTCATGCATTTGGGAGGTCTTTGTCCCCGCACATTTTGAAATACTGCTGGCTGTGGAACTGAAAGAGCCATGACTGCTTTATCTCACCAGCAGCCAAGGTGAAGTTTGGGTCTCTGGAGGGATGGAAAGATTTGCCATATGCAGCTGTATGCATGGTGCTGCCCATGACTTGGGAGGGAATGGACACACAGGGCTGTCCTGAGAAACCTCCTGTCCTTATTTGTGTGTTGAGGATACCCCTCTGGGAGAGTCATGATGATTAAATCTATTTTCCCATAGCCAGACTTTCAAATGCCCCTGAGTCTGGAAATGCACAATTTATTCCCTTTTTTACTCATTCTTGTACAAATCTGGGATCTTCACTTTTCCTTTGATGACAATTTTTTCTAGCAGAGATATCTCCAGGTATCCCTGAGTCAGGAGCAGTTTCTTGTGCTTTAGAAAGCAGTTTAACCTTACTCCAAGTGCCCTGGCTTGCAGTCTGGAGCTCTGGAGCTAGGCTGCATGCCATGTCCCACACTGGAGTCCTGGCAGCTCCACAGGCATCTACATCACCCAACAAGATCTGCCAGGCCGATAAGAAACTCATTTCTCTCTTGCATTCCTTCTGCAGGCACAGCTCCAGCCCTGGGTGTGGAAGGAATGCAGAGCTGGGCCTGGAGCTTGTGTCTGCCCAGGTTAGAAATGAGCTTGCAGAGGGAAATGTGGCTCTGCAGCCCTGCTTGCCTGGGACACCGCAGGTATTTGCATCCAGGTTTCTGCTCTTTGGGGTGGAACCAGCCCTGTGTTCGCAGGCTGATCCAAAGGTGCCCTTAATTAGTTCACATCTCTGCTGTTTGATGCCATGAGAAGGCAGCTTGCTGTTCCCTTAGGCAGTGCAGCTTTCCCAGACAGGCACTGTAAACTGGAAATATAGGTACTTGTAATTTTCTTAAAAACCTCCTTTGGGCCTGAAATGTCTTGTGCTTGGTTTCAATCCAGTATTGACTAAGACTGGAAAGTGTGAATAATGTCAGTTCAGCTGTACTTGAGCTATTCAAATAAATGTAAAACTATGTATTTTCCACTTACATTGTTCCATAATTCTCAGCACTTACATAACCTCTGTTTTATTATTGAAATTGCTACAGACTTGAAGAGGGAAATATAATTTTCCAATACTGGGCCTGAACAGATAAACAGGGAGGCAATTCCAAGGCCTCAGTGTGCTTTAAAATCTGAATGTTTCTGCTTTAGTGTTGGTGTGAATAGGTTTGTACTTTTACTGGTGCAGAACAACACCACCTCCACAACCTTCCCTTTCCCTGGGCACTGGATTTCTGAGATGTTCCCATTATGTAGCTGAAATTTCACAGAGAGAATTTAGAAGATTTCTCCAGATTGTAAGGAAAGATTTTGTTTGCTGAGCTCTGTAAAGTTAAACTAGCAGGCTGGGGATTTCCAAAGGGATATTCCCAATGCAGCCCAGGGCACGTGGCTGAGACTTGATCTGGACAGAAAGTTCAGTGGCTTTGCTAAAGTTTTGAAGGCAAGAGGTTTGTAACGAGTTAGTGACCTGGTTTTTTGGAATGGCAGAGAAGAGAAGAGCATTTACATTGGGTGGATCACGTGTGGAAATGCCTGGCTTTGAGTCCTGCAGTAACACAGTGTTGTGTAAGTCTGTTGTAAATGTAACTGCACATTTCCTCGGGCTGTTAGTGCAGCACCAAATGGCCAGAGGGATGGAAATGTGTCACTGTTGTCTGAAATGGAGCCCAGACACTGCCCTGGCAGGTGAGGTCCCCTCTGGAGAGCCCTGATAGACAGAAATGTTCCTCCAGTCAGGACAGTGGGCACTGGGACATTGAGCTGTCCTTTGTGTAGCTCTGCTGAGGTCACTGCAGCTCCTTCCTAATTCCACTGAGGCCGAGTTGTGCCTCTCCCTTCTTCTGAAGGGTTCACATGCCAATGTGTTGTGCAACAACATAATTTGTTAACAAATAAAGAAGAATTTAAATAACCTTAGAAAATGAGTTTGGGCATCCCATCTGCCTGCAAACAAACAGCAGAAGTGCAAAACATTTAAGTAGCAATGCAAAGTATCTCAAAATTGCTTGAGCTCTGGTTCTTCAAGAACAAAACCACAATTGTGAGGAGAACATGCTCTGCAGGAGAAGGCTCTGCATGAGAACACACACTGCATCTTCTCCACTCCAGACATAATTTCTGTGCTGTTTTCCCCAGAGCTGTAGTAACACATGATGAATCTTTTCCATGTGTGTCTATGTATGAATTTGACTACTTTTAGTTTCACTTAAAGCAATAAGGGAGGATACTTTGACCCGTAATTGTCAAATTATGTTTACAGTACAGTAAAACTGTATCTTCCTGTAAAATATCTGTCCTGAGGAAGCCAAGTCTCATGGAGCAAAACTCCACATTTCTGTCAGGACAAGGAGTGCACTGCCTGCCCTGCTGCTGGAACTGGCTCACTCTGGGTTTGGCCCTGGTTCTTCATTAGTGCACTGCTGTCACTTGTCAATGTTTCCTACCTGAATGGCCATTTCTGAATTTGGAAGACATCCCAAGGGTGCCTTTCTGCCAGGAGGGTCCCTGCTCTGTGCATTGTCCTCAGCTCTGCAGAGCATCTCCAGAGGGGTTCAGGAGATCACTGGCCCATAGGTGCTGAGCAAACCATCCAAGGTCTAAGAAAAACTCCTTGTGATGCTGAAAAATAGGAAACACTAAGCAGATGTGTTAGTTGCAGTGAAAGCCCTGGGTCCTCAGGGAACAAACAATTGGGTTCACAGTCTTTGAAGAAGTCTGAGACAGAGAGCTGATTGATTTTTTGTGCACAAAGCTGAAATGCATTTTCATGAGTGACTCTCGCCGTGTTTGTTGATGGTATTCATAACATTTCAAGGGACCTTAAATTACATTAGCTTTTGGCCTAAATGTTGAAGTGGTTTGATCTTGCCTGATCCTGCTGAGCAACTTCTGCTTAGCACTTCCAGTTGTGTCTGCCCTTTTCTTCCAGGGAGCAGCTCTGGTGTGCCTGGGCTGGGTGTTCTGGGGCCCTGCCATTTCCAGGAATTTGTTATCTCTGGCAGAGGCCTCGTCACTGTCACCCATTGATAGGGGGGGAGTAAACATGCTGCTGATGGGGCAGTGTCCCTTCAGAGGCTGAGCACCAGCCTGATTCCACTGCACACTGGGCTCCTCCAGGGAAACGTTCTTCTGCCACTCATTAGTTTTAAAATTGTCTTTGCTGGATGATTCTTGTTATAACTCATCTACTCTTGCTCCCTTTTAATGCAGAGGGGTTTTTCTTGTTTGCAAATTTCAGTCACGTTGGAGCCATCACTGGCTGGAAACATTTCTGAAACAAATGTGGCAACTCTTGAACTTCTGAGGAGTATGAGAAGGGAGTTTTGACATTTTCCATTTGCTGCCTGTGAAACACCTGAATCAAACAGCAGTGACAAAAGCCCAGGGCCCAGGGCAGGGGCTGTGGAGAGGCCAGGACAGGTCTCAGGCAGTGGAAGCACAGCCACCCTCCTTTGGAGATGCGCTGTCAGGAGGGGCTTGGGAGCAGGAAACAGCTGCTTTTAAAAAGCCACATGGATCAGCCCCTGCTAGGACGTGTTCTTCAGGCTGGAGGAGCTTTCAGGGGCACTCCAGGGAGCAGCAATCCCTGTAGGTTTGGTGGGGTTTTTTAGGGTTTCCTGGGCAAATGATGCCCAGAAGTCAGTGCACAAGTTTGCCCCCTCTGATTTTATAACTTCCCAGAGAGTGCTGCTGCTGCAATTCTGTTTAGGCTTGAAACAATCCAAAGCTTTCTTCTAGGCAGGGCCAGACTGACTAAACTTGAATATCTGGTTTAAAAGTAAATGTAGTCCAGTTTAGACTGCATTTTCCTCAGCTGCTCACTGCACCATTTGTATCCTAATGCACATTAGCCTTTCAGCTGTTTCCAAAGCCATCTTCTTTTGAATGTTTAATATCTAAGAACCAATTAGTTCCATTTTGTTTTCCTTGGATAGTTTGCAATTAAACATTCTTTCAAGTGGGCTTTATTTAGCTAATTCCATCACAAAAATAAGCTCTAAGGGAATGAAGAGAAGTTCAAGCTAGCCAATGTTTATTTTTATTATTAATAATTTATATGATGGGAGTCCCCAGGGGAACCAGGGCCCCACTAAACCCAGTTTCCTCTGCATGTAGTGACTGTGTCTCACAAGACTTTATTCAGCAGAAGATTCCTTCTTGCTGCTGTGGCTCAGTGCAGGGACCTGCTCCACGCTGCAGGGAAAGGGCTGATGAGGAGCACATGAAAACAAATCAAGAATCATTGTTTTAAAGGAGCTTGAGCTTGGCACCAGAGGGAGAATCTGATGCAGCTTTTCTAAAAAGAAAAAAAGCCACACTTCTGTATTTTTCCAGTCTGAGTGCCAAGTCATGACCTCCAAGGGCTCGTTGAGCATCTCTGAAGTGATGGCAATGCTCCCAGTGGCTCTGAGGGCAAAGTGATGGCCCTAAAAACCTTATCTCTTCCTGAGCTAGCAGCAGGGGACTCAGAATATTTAAAAAACACACTGGTGGGCAAGTTAATTTAGAAAATGCTCTTGTTCAGTCAGATTTCTATCAGAAGTTATGGTTTTCACAGTGTCCGATCCTCAAGAATTGGTCTGCTTTATGTTTTACAGGAGTCTTGGGAGGAGCAGTTTGGAGTCCCTTTGGAGCTGGAGAATACAAAGGGGAGCAGAGCCAGCCCTGGGGACTGAGATGGGCTCAGCAGGGCCAGGGCAGCTCAGCAGGGTCAGGGCAGCTCCCAGCACTGGGGACTGAGATGGGCTCAGCAGGGTCAGGGCAGCTCCAGCCCTGGGGTTTCTGATGGGCTCAGCAGGGTCAGGGCAGCTCCAGCCCTGGGGTCTGAGATGGGCTCAGCAGGGCCAGGGCAGCTCCAGCACTGGGGTCTGAGATGGGCTCAGCAGGGTCAGGGCAGCTCAGCAGGGCCAGGGCAGCTCCAGCACTGGGGTCTGAGATGGGCTCAGCAGGGTCAGGGCAGCTCAGCAGGGTCAGGGCAGCTCCAGCACTGGGGTCTGAGATGGGCTCAGCAGGGTCAGGGCAGCTCCAGCACTGGGGTCTGAGATGGGCTCAGCAGGGTCAGGGCAGCTCCAGCCTTGGGGTCTGAGATGGATTCAGCAGGGTCAGGGCAGCTCCCATCACTGGGGTTTCTGATGGGCTCAGCAGGGCCAGGGCAGCTCCAGCACTGGGGTCTGAGATGGGCTCAGCAGGGTCAGGGCAGCTCCCATCCCTGGGGTATGAGATGGGCTCAGCAGGGTCAGGGCAGCTCCAGCCCTGGGGTTTCTGATGGGCTCAGCAGGGTCAGGGCAGCTCCAGCCTTGGGGTCTGTGATGGGCTCAGCAGGGTCAGAGCAGCTCCCATCCCTGGGGACCCTGCTCCCTGTGGGCTCCTGTGTGGGCTAAGGGGTGGAAGTGGTTTAGGGGTGAGCAGGGCTCTGGGGTGCAAGTGCAGCACTGCAGATTTTCCTCCTGGAATTGCCATCCCCCTCCCTTTCCCCTCTGTGGGAGCATCAGGCTTTGCAGCACTCTTTCCACAATTCCACAGGAGTTTTCCTGACCATCCTCCTGTCCTCATTAGCTCAGTTTAAGGGGGGTGAGACATCTGGTTCCAAGTACAGCAGTGTGGTTAGCGTGGGGGCTTTTTCCTCTCCACAGAAAAATCACTGAATCTGGCCATTTAAGACACAGATTTTATAGGAGCTAGAGTTGGGCTGTGCAAAGTTCACCTCATTAAAAGCAAGCCCAAACCAAATAAAAGCAGAGAGTAACAGTGTAAAAAATGTGGGGCCATGAATGTCAGAGCATGTGTTTTAGGAACTGGTAAGAAGTGAAGGGAAAAGTACAGATATACCCACATCCATTCAGATTCTTGGGTTTTCCCAGAAGTAAATATTTGGCTTTAAAGCATAAACCTCTTGTCCCTTCTATTTATCTCTTCTGCAAAATTTTATATACTTTTCCTCTTTTTCCAGTGTTCTTTGGGATACTGATCCTAACTTAGCAACTTCTTTATTTCTATGGCACAAGATGATCTTGGTAACATTCATGGGAATGAACCATGATTGCCCAGGAATGGGCTGGGTGGCTCAATTCCCAGTAAAGGGACAGTTTTCCTGGTCAGACAGGTAAATGACACAGGGTTTGGCCCACTTCAGAAGCACCAGGCTGCTGTGATTCACAGAATTCAGGTTTTGGAGATAACAAATTACATCCCCCATGCTGTTGGACATCAGCTTTGACTCCTGCTGGAAGTTTGTCATCACATTTGGTTAAACACCCTTCTCAGTGTAATAATCAAAGCATTTATCTGTCCATCATGTGCTGCCATTGAAACTTAGCCCTGGGACTCCCCAGAGCCCTGAGGCTGAGGTGCAGGACCTTCCTTGTGTCAGGTTTAAGCTGGAGTGGCTCCTGCATGGCCAGGCTGCCTGGAGACAGGAGCACACCTGGCAGGGTTTGGAGCACACCTGAGGCACAGGCTGGGGAAACAGGGACACTGAGCTCTGCAGGACACAGGGAGGATCCTTGGGCTCATCATTGTTAAGGAGGAATCTCTCAAGGCCAGAGCTGCTGGGATTCAGTGCCAGACAAGTTTTCCTTGTCCCAAATGGAGGAGCCTGTGCATCACTGTAAACTGCTCTGCTCAGCTCCTTCTGCTTGCCCAGCTTGGAGATTGGGGCTGGGAGTGTCCTGCCAGGCAGGCTGAGCTGGACCTGCAGGTCTGGCAGTGCCAGCCTGGCAGCCCCTGAGCCCCCAGTGCAGCCTTGGAGGCTGGCAGCAAGCTGGGCATGGAACCAGGGCAGCACGGCCAGGCGTGCTCCTAAATCACCTGGACTGGGGGAACGGAGCTGTGGGAAAGCAGAGTCCAGAGGGCCCCAGCACCTGGGAACTGAGCACAGAGGGGCCAGGGCTGGGCCATGGAGGGCAGAGCAGGGGCACAGCCCTGGGCTATGGGGGCAGCCCTGGGTTATGGGGGCAGCTTTGGGCTATGGGGGCAGCCCTGGGTTATGGGCACAGCTCTGGGCTATGGGCACAGCTCTGGGTTATGGGGGCAGCTCTGGGTTATGGGGGCACAGCTCTGGGTTATGGGGGCTCAGCTCTGGGTTATGGGCACAGCTCTGGGTTATGGGCACAGCTCTGGGTTATGGGCACAGCTCTGGGTTATGGGGGCACAGCTCTGGGCTATGGGGGCAGCTCTGGGTTATGGGCACAGCTCTGGGTTATGGGCACAGCTCTGGGTTATGGGGGCACAGCTCTGGGTTATGGGGGCAGCTCTGGGTTATGGGGGCACAGCCCTGGGTTATGGGGGCAGCTCTGGGTTATGGGGGCTCAGCTCTGGGTTATGGGCACAGCTCTGGGTTATGGGGGCTCAGCTCTGGGTTATGGGGGCACAGCTCTGGGCCATGGGCACAGCTCTGGGCTATGGGCACAGCTCTGGGTTATGGGCACAGCTCTGGGTTATGGGGGCACAGCTCTGGGCCATGGGCACAGCTCTGGGCTATGGGCACAGCTCTGGGTTATGGGGGCACAGCTCTGGGTTATGGGGGCACAGCTCTGGGCTATGGGCACAGCTCTGGGTTATGGGCACAGCTCTGGGTTGTGGGGGCACAGCTCTGGGTTATGGGCACAGCTCTGGGTTATGGGGGCACAGCTCTGGGTTATGGGCACAGCTCTGGGTTATGGGCACAGCTCTGGGTTGTGGGGGCACAGCCCTGGGTTATGGGGGCAGCTCTGGGTTATGGGGGCAGCTCTGGGCTATGGGAACAGCTGTGGGCTATGGGCACAGCTCTGGGTTATGGGGGCAGCCCTGGGTTATGGGGGCACAGCTCTGGGTTGTGGGGGCAGCTCTGGGCTATGGGAACAGCTGTGGGCTATGGGCACAGCCCTGGGCTATGGGGGCAGCCCTGGGTTATGGGGGCACAGCTCTGGGTTGTGGGGGCAGCTCTGGGTTATGGGCACAGCTCTGGGTTATGGGGGCACAGA